TTAATAAGTCAATATCATCGAACCAGCAAAGACAAGCCAGCAATAAAGCAAACAAACAGCAGCAGTGAAAACATCATAAAAACTAGATGGGTTGCAAAACACCTAAGACAATGGATCTTGAGGTCTGGTAAGTGTATTCATGGATTGTCAAAAAGCTTTTGACAAAGTGTCTCACCTTTAAGGCTTCTGAGTGAACCTTGCAATCATAGGATATGCGGAAGCGTTCATGAATCTGAGTCCATATGTGAAATGAACTGCAAAAAGTGTGAACTCTTGAGGGTTATGTTAAAGCTTAATTACAAAAGCAGTGTTGGTAACACAAATTTATTTGACGTTGTTACTGAAAGTAAAGATGGTCAGCCTCTGTATTGGAGGCCAGTCTGTTCTGCAGGGATCCAGGAGCCAAAAAAACATGCCTCAATCCCATACCTCAGCCCCCCCCCCCCCAAAGGAGAAATTTCTGTGGCCACACCTAAATTTTGGAACTCTTCATCCCAAGAGGCTTGGTTGGCTCCATCCATAACGATGTTTTACTGCAGGGCAAGAATCTTGCAGTTTAGGCAGGTGGTTGACAGGTAAGTTTTTGACCAAGGCGCTTGTTTTAATCTGCTTCATTTCTCTCTCTTTTTATTACTGTGTGTGTGTGTAGGTTGGTTTTAATTGTTAGCCAGCCTGAATGGTGTGCAGGTACCAGAAAAAGTAGAGATACAAATTTGTAGATATAAATAAATAAACCTGAGTAGTTACTAAGCAGAGCAACAACAACCAAAACAAAGAGGTATACATTACTGTATAGGGTATTTAACGATCGCTGTCATAGTTTCTGAGTACAAGTTTATTTACAAAGAAAGAATGCTTGCCACACCTGTGATATTTCTGTGGTACATCGGTGGGTCATTATGCTGTCACCCTGTCGAGTGGAGGCATCTCTAGATTAGTCCCACTTTTTCTTTAGTTTTTATAATAATTTTTATTGATTTTCTTTTCTCATAAAAAATATTCAATATCATCATTTAACATCCATTTTCTAGTGTCCCCCTCCCTGTTGACTTCCCCCAACTTCAATTTCTGGTTTCTTACACCAAATGTTACATTCTGCTGTTTATACATAATGTTCTGTTATCACTAATTATATTTCTTGTTCTCTGTAAATAAAGTTGTAAATGTATATTTAAATCCTGCCAACGAGTCCCTGTTTTTTTGTTGTTTCTGCAAGTATGTTGTAAAAGGTTCCCATTCTTTTCCAAAGTTGCTATTGTCCTTTTCACGCAATTTATCCGTTAGCTTTGCCAATTCTGCATAGTTCATCCATTTTTCTTGCCATTGTTCTTTAGATGGTATTTCTCCAGTCTTCCAATTTTGTGCTATTAGAATTCTTGCTGCTGTAGTAGCGTACATAAATAACGTCCGATTTTTCTTTGTCCTAAAATACCTAACAAGAAGGCTTCTGGTTTTTTCACAAAGGTTATTTTTTTCAAGACGCAGCAAGTTCACATTTATGTCACCAGATGGGGCCAGAGCTACAAGTATAACTTCAATTATACTAGCAATTTTGCTTTCTTTTTCGTTATGTGGCTCTCAGTACAGTAGTCAATAATCTCATCACTTGGTTGCCATTGTGTAAACAATGACTGGGAAGATGGCAATCTGGAGCATTGACATGACAGATCCAAGAGGCATTTCAAGAAACGCATCTAAAGGCAGGGAAATTCCAGAACCTGCTCATAAACTTTGCAATAGTGTCTTAAGAACATAAGAGGAACTTGCTGGATCAGGTAATGTCCTGTCTAGTCCAGCATCTTGTTTTCAAAGTGGCTGACCAGGTACCTGTGGGAAACCTTCGAGCTGGAATTGAAAGCCAGGCAGTGTGTTTTCAACACTTGTCTCTTTACCCAGGAGCTGGCTTTGAGAAGGGGAAGGATCATTTCCATCAGGAGCAGAGACTGGTCCCCTTATCTCAAACCAGTCCCTTACCCAGAATGCAAAGCTGCAGTGTTTAGTTCATTGTTTTTGGAGTGGGAGGAGAGGTGGGAAGTGGAGCAGGGAAATAGGGAGTTGAGAAGGGAGAATAATGGTGAGTGATAAGGCAGTTGGAGGGTGAAGAAACGCATTCCCCCCTCCCATCAAATTATACATGACTTTTGCATATAAATGTAACAACTTCGCTATTGAAGTTGATGTTCCCTTCAAAGAAGCTGAGCAAACACAGCTCCTCCTCTCACCAATTTCAAATACTGATAGACCTAATTGTTTGATGTCTGCATTGTTAACATTCCTTTACCCTAAGAATTTATATAGCTTCCCTAGTTACTGGCACATTCATGTCACAGCTGGACAGATAAAAGTGTTGTAAAATACACACAAACACACACATTGTAGATCTTCCTTACAGAATTAGTTTTTTAAGAATGTTACAGTTCCAATCCTATGTGCCTACTCAACCTGGGAATAAGCCCCACTGCAAACAACAGGACTTCCTTCTGAGTAGACGCATATAGGATTCTGCTGTAAGGCCTCGATTCTGTAAACACTTTTCTGATGGTTGGCCTCACTGAACACTATTATTTGCTTCAGAGTAAGCATGCATTGGATAGAGGTTGCCAGCAGTAGACGCAGCTGTAAGGTCTGGATTAACTGGTATGCTAAAAAATAGCTTCAGAGAGGGGATCCAGCCAGCTTCACAGCCATGCCTTCCCATAATTATCTGGGAGTTTGCAAAACGACAAAAATAGCCACTAATACCCTGTAAAAGCTTAGCATTTCCCGTGTTGCATGGAACATACCCAGTTACAGGAAATGTGAGAGTTCTGGAATCCTGGCCATCATGAGGAATTAGCCTGTTTCCTCCTTGAAATGTTGATTTGTACAAATAAATGTTGCATTGCACAATCTGACATCTTCATCTGCCCCAGCTGCAGCAAAACCTGTCTCTCCCGCATCGGTCTCTACAGCCACAGCAGCAGGCGCTGCAACCTTCCAACTGTTTGACGCCTCACCTGAGACAGACGGATGCCAGCCAACAAAAAAGTAGGGTAGAAAAAACAAGGTTGGCCTTTGTAGAACTAGATGAGGAATACTTTCCAGTTCCTGCTTTTGCTTCATGTGTTCCTTTGCAGCTCTAAAGTGATTTATTTTTGCTTTGTGAAAGCTTTATATCAAGTCCAAGTTGCAAGTCTTTCTTGAGCCGCTCAACCAATAAGTTTTAGTTCCTCATTTGTTGTAAATGATCTTCCTTGCGGTGTTTTCCCTCCTAGATTTGGGTTCCCATGTGAAGATAATGCACTTTGCTTACCTTAATTCAAAACCACCCTGTTTTGTACCTTTTACCAGATGATAAAGAGTCACTGCTGTGCAAAATGTGTGTCTACAAATGTAGCAGGAACTTTGGATATTTTGGATGATACTACATGTGGGATTTCAAATGGGAACTTGTTGTGGAACACGTACTGTTTGTGCTCAGGTGCTTTTCACATCATCCACATGTCATCGTCATCATCCAATTGCCCATACTTTTTTCTTCATTTGATCCAGATTTACTCACTTTGCGGACAATTCAATAAGTAAAAATAACATGTTATACATCCACAGACACCACCAGTGTCTGGTTATCACACAGAAATGGTTCTTGTTGTTGAGTGGAGCTGGTACGTTAGCTTCCTGGCAGGTGGGTTTTACCAAGAGGACAAGACAACATGGAGGTCAGCATGGTACAGAAGGACCAGCTGAGTGTAATGGACTGGCTGGACGCAGATGAGTGGTGGGAGAAGCCAGCTGAGGAACCCCCAAGGGAAGAATTGTGGGTTTTGAATAATAATAAAGGTGTGTTTTGAATAATAATATAGGTGTGCATTCACAGATACAGCAATCCCTGTATGCATGCCAAGAACAGAAAAGGGTATCGGAGGAAGGAGGAGGGTTGATAAAAACAGGCCACATTCTGTCAAGTTTGCCCACCAGTGTGAACAGTAACAGCGATGACTATGGAAACAAAATGTGTGGAAGCTAAGATGCCAATCATAGACACACATTAAAGCAGGGTCTGGACCAGGGTTTATTCTAAGTTTTTTCCTCTTCTGCATAAGCAGCCAGCCCCTTGGCCACCCCTGAACTTTTTGTAACTTAAAGGAAGAACTTAAATGAATGGAGAAGTAAGGGGATGCGCCCCTCCCATTATTTGGGGGAAGAGATTATCTCCCTTTCTTAACCTACAGTTGGGTGCTGAGACTTACTTCCTTCCCAAAGCATGACTGAAGCTGAGGGCCCCCATCCTGAAACAAAAGAAAAGTTAACATGCTCAGCATAATGTGTGAGGAATCACCGTGGCACAACTGCGTGGTCTTCTGTATGTAAACGATTGTATAGCTACATACTGTTTAAGTAGAGTTCAGTGTGATTCAGTGAATGCCTTTGACTAGTCAATTAATACACTATTCTGATGGTCCCATAATAAACTATTAATGTAAGGTTATAGAGATTTGTAAGGAACCAATATTCATCTTTATTTCCTAATTCTCTTTTCTCATCTGTTTCTTTTTCAGAAACAACCTACCTCCTTGTTAAATAACATATGCCAAACCACACAAACACAAAGATTTTTTTTTGACAATGCAAAAAATGCATCGTTTCATGTTAGACTAAACCCTGGTCTGAGCAACCCCTGGGTGATAGAAAGTCCCCGTTTAAGAGAAAAAGGGGAGATTTGGGACAAACCTGTCCATTTCACAATTTAACACTAATCTGCCTAATTTACAAACTGAAGGGCATCTGTCCTGCTCCCCACATCATGTGCATGTGTGATTGATAATTGCTTTGTTATTTATGCTTGGAAAAAGGGACTTTGCAACTCTTAAAACACTAAAAATGGGATGGGACATGCTTTGAATTATCATGCCAAAAGGGCCTTTGTCTCAGCTGGGGGTTTCCAGGGAGATGCAGAGTGATCAGAGCACAGTGTGACATCATTAGGGGGGGGGCTGGAGGGCTAATCTGGGGGGGGGGGGATTCCATGGGATTGGAAGAGAACAAAGGAACCGCAGGAACTCCTTTGAGGCCAGCGTGAGGGTGAGGAGTTATCCTTAGGGAAGCCCATAAAAAGATAAAAATAGGGTAGCAATATTCTTGACTTTTGGCTTGGGCGAGAAAGTTCCACAGCTAAAGTTTGCACTATTGATAAGGAGAGCCCAAGAGGCCATACTTCATGTCCTGGCTGCTTAACTGGAAAAGGCTAAACATGGCAGTTTCAGTATCATGACTCCAACACCACCACCAAGAAGCCTAGGAAGCTGTAGAGGTGGCAAACAATGACTAAGCAAGTAGTTGTGGTTAGAGTGTCAGACTAGGACCTAAGAGACCAGAGTCCAAATCCCAACTCTCTGGGTGACCTTGGGCCAGCCACTCAGTCTCTCAGCCTAGCCTATCTCGCAGGGTTGTTGTGGGAATAAAATCGAGAGGGTGAGAACCATTTACACCACCTTGAGCTCCTTGGAGGAAATGCGAGATATACCGGTACACAATGAACAATGCTATATACACTTGAAACTGGAATTTTTCAAAAGCAGCAGTAGCATCATGCCCAGGCAAGCTGGGGTAGTTTATTTTTCTGTGTTATAAAGTTTTAGAATGTCAATTTCTTTTTTTGTGCAGTTGAGGGTCATCTAGTCCAACTCCCTGCAGTTGTGGGGGGGTTTTATTGTTGCAAGCCGCCTTGAGCAGTGTAAGAGCATTGGAAGGGTGGGGTGTAAACTTTCCCCCTAAAATAAATAAGCCAAATATTATGTTGAGCCATTAATTCTGTTGTTTACAGGACATCTAGGAGTGAGAGGACCCTGACTACTCTGTCAAATGCCAATATAGTTCTATTCTTCCTTTGCTTATGACAAGTAAATGGAATGCTTTGGATCTCTCCCAGGGTTAAGAGGTGATGCAGTTTCACATCTGGACTGAGCCATTGTTACCCCTAACGGAGTAGCCTACAAGAATAAAGAATGTAACAAACATCCCTGTGTCTACCTTCATGAAGTGTCCCCATGGCAATAGCAAATAGTTGGAATCTTCTAGTTCCCAGTAGAACAAGGTGGTAGAATTATGAAATGGTAGAATTGACGGTACCAGTTATGGCTGCAGGAGAGAGAAGTAAAAGGAAGAAGTAAACCACAGAGAGAGGTTCTAGCCCAACTCACTCCCTGTTGTGTACATCTTCTACTTGTAGGGAGTAGAGGAGCATTCATAAACACTGCAGAATCACAAGAATGGGAAGCGAACATAGAGGTCATTGACTCCAGCCTCCTGACCAATGCAGGATGCAACTACAGCATCCTTGGCAAGTGGCCATCCAACCTCTATTTCAATACCTTTGGGAAAGCAGAGCCCATGGTTCCCCAATGCAGTCGGTTCCACGGTCAAAAAGCTCTCCCCATCAGGTTTCTTCCAGTGTCTCTGCTTCCCTGCAATGTCCATACATTGGTTCTAGTCCTGCCCTCAGAAACACAGAAAGCAAGTCTGCTCCATCTTTTCCAATGGAGGGATGCAAAAAGCAGAGGCCCCTAAGGATCGATATTGGGACCATAACTTGCCCGTAAATGATCTAGAGTTAGGGGTGAGGAAGCCAAGTTTGCTGATGATACTAAATTATTTCAGGGTGGTTAAAACAAAAAGGGATTGTGAAGAGCTCCAAAAGGATATTTCCAAAGTGGCTGAATGGGCAGTAAAATGGAAGCAAGTGAAAAGTGATGCACATTGAGGCAGAAAGTCCAATTTTCACTTATATGCTCCTGGCGTCTGAACTGGCAGTGACTTACCAGGAAAAAGACCTTGGGGTCGCAGTGGGCAGCTTGGTGAAGATGTTGACCCACTATGGAGCAGTTGCTAGGGATCACTAGGGAAGGAATTGAAAACAAAACTGCCAGTGCCATCATGGTGACGTAGAAACCTATGTTGTGGCTGCACTTGATAAGAGGAAAGCTGCATAATATCGGTGTGGATAAAATGGACAAGGATACATTTTTGTCCTCCTTTCCTACTGCTAGAACCCAGGGTCATCCATTGAAGATGAATGCTGCTAGATTTAGGACAGACAAAAAAAGGACTCCTCCACACAGTGCTTAGTGAAAACCATGGAATTTGCTCCCTTGAGATGGGCACCAATTTGGATGGCTTTAAAAGAGCTTCCAGCAACCTCTTCATGTTCTGCATGCCAGCCCTTCAGATATTGGAAGACTGCTATCACATCTCGCCTACTCTTCCCCAGGTTAGCTATTCCCAGCTCTTTTAACCATTCCTCAGAGGGCATAATCTACTGTATATATTCTGAACTGGTACAGTCCATTTGGATAATCTCAATACAGTGGTGCCTCGCAAGACGAAATTAATCCGTTCCGCGAGAGTCTTCGTCTAGCGGTTTTTTCGTCTTGCGAAGCAAGCCCATTGACGGATTAGCGCTATTAGCGCTATTAGCGGTTTAGCGGCTATTAAAGGCTTAAAGGCTTAGGGGATTAGCTGCTAAAAGGCTATTAAAGGCTATTAAAGGCTTAGCAGATTAGATAAAGGGGGGGAAAAGCGAAAAAAAAATCTCTAGACTTGCAAGATATTTTCGTCTTGCGAAGCAAGCCCATAGGGGAATTCGTCCTGCGAAGCAACTTCAAAACGGAAAACCCTTTCGTCTAGCGGTTTTTCCGTCTTGCGAGGCATTCGTCTTGCGGGGCACCACTGTAACTCTACTGCTTCATTTTTCTGAATCAGATTTAGCAACAGAATGTAGGGACACAGGAATCACAAACTTTTTCTAATCTTTTCTGCTGTCCTACAGCAGAAATACGGGCGAGTTACATAACCGATATGCATCCAGTCTGTAAAAGACAAGTCAGGAAAAGCAAAACATTTTTTTCCCCACCAGGTGCTGTCACTCTCTGACTCATAAATTCATTGTTTTGACTCTAGAGGAGGGACAACTGGCATTATCAGGTGTGCAACCCAACCTATGCCACATTGACTTGGAAGGAAATACCAGAGAGTTAAGTGAGACTTACACCCAAGTTAGTGCGAGTGCATAAGATTTCCACTTCTCTTCCTGGTTACCTCTGTGCTCCACAAACTAGGGCATATTTTGGGTTGGGCTTTTGAATCTTTATCTCTAGTGATTAGGGTTTCTAGTTTTCGCCTGTTCAGGCCAAGTTTCATTCCCAGTAAAGGAATTTACAATACCTTTGGGCAGTGGAGTCCGGTTTCCATTGGGACAGGGTGCAAGGAGGCCAACGGTAAATAGAACCAGAGCCAATTCTAATTGGGAGCTCTCTAATTCTGGTTTTGTCCCCATCCTTCTCCCTGCTGAGTTGTACAACGGCAACACTGGATTGAACAAAGGCAACATCCCTGTTGTTTCTTGAGCTAGGAAGGCAAGCAGAGCCACCCCAGGCTCTGTGAGTACAGGGGGAGGTCTTGGCAATACAACTTGCAGAGGACTCCTTCCTTGACCCTGCTAGAGGCATCTACTTTGAGCTCCGTCTCCAGTCTGTTTTCTGGAATGAGAGAGCAGGTGACAGCTGCTCCTTGTACCTGGCAGCTGTCAAGCGTCAAGAGCAGCAAGCAGCCTGTTCTCCCCCTCTGGGCAGTGATGCAGATTTCCAAACCTCACCACTGCCCAGAGGGACAGGGCAGGTGTGAACAGCTTCTCCTGTTCCTTGTAGGCCCTCCCAGGGCCTTTTGACCCACAGACACTGCCTTCCAACACCAACCCTAGAGGCAAGGGAATGACTCCAGCCACCACTGCTCCCGCCCCATCCTTTTTCTCTTGCAAAACAGGCAGCCATTGTGGCTAGTTTTCCTCCGGTTCCGATAACTAATCTCTCAAAATAACTTAACAACTGTGTTTAGCCCCCTTTCCCAGTCACATTGAGGTTTCAGAAGGGGCGGTGGCCTTCCTGTACAAACTGGTTTGCAGAGCGGTGGCTGGGCTTTGCTGCACCTTTTATCTGAAAGAGGACCTGGCTCGGGTGACTTGCAAGCGAGATCTATACCACACAACAGCCTGAGTCATTCAGAACCTTTCCTTTTAGTCGTCTCAAAGTTCAGCTATCTGTGTTTGAGAAAATGAAAATGCAAACACACTTCAGTTTCAGGCAGCTGACTACAGAGGGTGATGCAGCTGGACGCAGCCTTGATTTCATTGGAATGTCCTCCTTGGTAAGTATGCTTATAAACACAGCCTTAATGAGAGAAGGGCCTCTTCACCTTCCAGAGTTATTTTTCTCTGAGCTGTTAAGAAACCAGAAGGTAGAAAACAAAGTTCTTTCAAAGGCGCTGGTCCCACAATATCCCCCAAACTTGAACGGCTCATAGACGATTAAAAAAAATAAAAATCCTACGAACCAGGTTAATTAAAATAGTGTTTAGAGACAGTATAGCTGTGTTTACCACACACAAGTGGTGCTTACGACCATTCAGCCCCATTCAGAGAATGTGCAAAGGCATGAGGTATTCAGGGCACATTTCCACGGGGCAGATTAAGAGGCCCGATGGGCTGTAGTTGGCCCCTCGGCTGGAGGCTCCCCCCCCCCCCACACAATACCCTGCAGCTTGAAAGAAGTGGTGATTTGGCTCACCCTAGACTCACTGGTTTGAGCCTGGGACTGAATCAGCTTTGGTCATCTCGATGGATGGCCTTCATCGGGAATATATGTGGGGCTGAAGTTGACCCAGAAAATGTCACTGGTGCAAAAAAGTGGCAGCTAAGCTGCTCGTTGGAAAGAGTATCACCACTGTATTAAACCTTGGCTGAAAGAATTACAATGCCCTGTACAGCTTGGGAACTCGAGATACTTAAAAGAGCATCTCGTCTTTTATATTCCCAACCGATCACTGTGCTCTGCCGGAGAAGGCATCCTGCAGATTCCATCTCATCAGGAAGCCATTTCCACACAATGTCAGAATCAGGCCTTTATAGTGGCAGAACCTACCCTTTAAAACTACGGTAGTCCCTCCTGTTACAGGTTAGACAATTGCCTTCTCTGCTGTTGTTCAGCATCTGCTGAAGACTTCTCTCTTTCAACAGCATTCTAAGAGGAGATTATTTTCTCTTAGTCAGTATCTGTATTGGTTTTGAAATGGTTTTTTTTTAAACACTCGTATTGTTTTATCTGTTTTTATGTATATACAAGTGTTTTATACATGCTTTTATTGTACGATGAAATGACTTTGAGATGCTTCGTAAGAACCAATTGATAAATGAAATTATTATTATTATCGTTATTATCATCATCACAGGGTTCGGCAGAAGATGGATCAGGATCTACTGGTAGATTTTTGAGTGGTTTGAAGTAGATCAGCAAGGTTTCTGGTTCCTGGTTGTATCACAACAAAAAGGGGTTTCCCCCCTCTTCTAAATTTGGCTGCTGATATAAAGAAAACCTGGCTGGTGGTGGGAAGCAGATTCTAGAGTGACCGGACTCTTTAATTAAGTTCTGGTACTGAAAATGAATTCCTGGGTTGAGCATGTACTCAGAGGCACGCTTTTTCTTAAATCTAATTGTACAGTATACCCACCCACTACCAGCCACGTTTTTGCACCTGACTCCAGGGTCCTGAGGTCTCAGAAGTCTTGTAGTTTTTCTACATTCATTTTTTTAAAAATATTTTTTTCCTAGCAAACTGTATTACAAAAATAATATTGATTAAAGTATAAATATAAATTAAGCCCTCCTCCCCCACTAGGAGAGGGTTTTTTTAAACCTTCAAATTACATTTCTTTAAAACACTATATAGTCTACAAGGAGGATTAAGAATCTTCTGTGTAATGTAATATTCGATCTGCTATAATATATAACACTAATTTTCCCCTTACAGCATTCATTTTTTTATAACCTATAATCAAAACAAATGACTCCATTAATTAGATCCACATTTCATTTTTCTTAATTCCTCTAACCCTTCTTAAAATGATCCTATTTTTCCTTTTTTAAAAACCCAAACCATTTCATATGCAGTTGGAACTGTTCTACCAGATT